CAAAAGTCTCTACATTATTACGAAGCTTGCCTCAAAAAAGGTGTCACCGTATCTTGAAAAGTTAAGGTCTGAAGATTCAATGCTCTTGGCAATAAGTTCCTGCACAAAGCAGATACTTGTTTGGTTTTAACAGATGATTAAGTGATAAGTAGACACATGCATACAGATACAAATTAGCCGATCATTTATGCATAGCTAAATATTACCAGATCACCAGCATTATCCAGATAAATCTGGACCACTGCATCCGCAAAAGCTGCAGGGTCCAGCGGCGCTGCAATATTCCGTTTGCGGGTCTTAATCCGCGTGCCACTGTACATAAAGGAGAGAAACAAAGGAAAACAAAATTCAGTATACGGGGCTAAACAATTCATACTAATGGGTGTGAAAAACTACAGTATGCAAAGATGAGCAGATAAACGTTTTCTATAAATCTTCCAAGTCCAAAACATACTTTCTTTGTTAGATTTCAAAAATTCATCATAACCTCAAATAATTAGAATGCCAGCATTATCAATTCCATTTAATTGAGTAGGGCCTGATGCAACAACTCATTTTACCGTCTTCACAAAAGGTCATAGGTTATAACTAATTAAAATTGATAAAGTTCCTTCTTTAACATATCATATAGTTATCAGTTAGAGAAACCTTGACTCTGAAACGTAAGAAAAACATGAAAGCATAACCAAAAAACACAGAGGGTAAATCCGATGAGACAGAATATGACGAAGACTTACCCGAGAGTGGGTCTCTCCTTCGAGCTGCTGGTACAGAAAATCTCAATTAGTATACATCTAATGGTTATATTTAGCTATAACTTTTAACGTTCACAACACAAATAAGTTTATTAAGAAGACCAATGGTGAAGACCCTTAAAAAATTATAATTTACGTTCTGGATAAAGGCGAAAGTGCAAAACCCAACTCTAAAAGTTTCAGTTTTACCTGACCCCCACCCAAGAAAAGGAAAAGCTTTACAATTGCACCACAATTAACATCCTAATTCAAATTCACACCACAAGAAACCGGATCGAAACGAAAAAGAATCAGAAAAACAGGAAATACCTTCACAAATATCCTGTATTTAGCTAGAATTAAATTTCAAAGAACTAAACGTCACTAACTTGGATTAATTCCAGAAAGGCCCAACTAATAATTAAGCAAATCTAACGAAATAAATGGAAAAAAGAGAGCAATAGAAAAGATTGCGCAAAACCCACCAAAAATTCCAACCTAGTAAAGAATCCAATCAAAGAAACAAAATTTCCATGAAAAAACAAACACTTGAAAAAGGCCGATTTTTAGGTAAAGAACCAGATCTGTGACCCATAACATATAAACTTTTGCATAAGATTTTAACCTAAAACGCAGATATCACACAGTAGAAGTGGAACGGAAAGATCGATAGAGAGGGAGAGAGAGAGAGAGAGAAGGTACCTCATAAACCAAGACGAAAAGGGATCGGAGGCAGACTCTGAGCGTCGAGAGTGTTTTTTTCGAAGAGAGAGAGATTGGAGAGAGAAGGGGGAAAGATATGTGGGAAGAGGGGTGATGGGGGTGGGTTTGGACGCTGATATTTATTAGAGAGAGAGAGAGAGAGAGATGGGGAGGGAGGGAGGGAAGGATTGACTACCCTCCCAGTTTCGGTGCCTTCCGTCTGTTTGTGTAGTCACAGTTAAATCATTTTAATATTTTATATTATTATTTATTTTTATCTTATTATCTTTATAAAAAATAATATAAAATATTAACATGGCTTAACTGTGACCATACAAAACAAGAGGCATTAGAGGACACCGAAAATGAAAAGGCAAACAATTGAAGGGAGAGGACTCAAAACAGACAAAAACAAAAGTAAATAAACTACAAAGACCATCACTTGAAGTTGCATAGTTTTTTGAGAAACTAATAAAAATTGTTTGAAAATTTTAAATTTTAACGATAAGAACAAAATAAATGATAAAGTGAATAATACAATGATTAACTTTATAATGTATAAATATAGCTTTTCGTTAAAATGAACAGTACTGTGAGCTTTTTGTTAAAATTCCCTATTTTTTTTTTTCAGCCAAGGTTACAACGCAGTTAAGTTACTACAAAAACAAAAATGTGTAAAAATCATTTTTATGGCAAATTTGTTTTGTTTGGTTTTTTTTCTTCGGCCCTAAGCTATTGTTAAAATCCTTCTTTTTACCTTTTCAACCTTGTCACAAATCCACATCATCAACCTTTAATTAGAAGGTTGGTAAAGCCATCTGTACTCCGGAATATTTTATATTCCAAATTTTTAATATGGGAGCTTTAACGAAAAGTACCCGGTACTGTTCACTTTAACGAAAAATCACATTTTTACACTAAAAAGTCAATCTTGGTACTATTCACTTTACCCTTTATTTTGTCCTTATCATTAAAACTCAAAGTTTTCAAGCTCTTTTCATTAGTTTTCATTAGTTTTCAAGCCCTTTTCAGTAGATCTTTGATATTGTAATTTTGATTAAGAATCCAATAGTTAAAAAATTCGTCATGTGAAACATGACATGGAAGAACGGGACGGCAAGGGGCAAAAACAAAGGCCCTTAATCCGGTGCGATACGAATGGTAATGCGTTTCTAAAGGAATGAGGTTCCCGAGCTATGCGATCGGATCACCTATGCTATCAGGCCATTGCTTCCTCCTAAAATCACGACCAGGGTTAAGCTTAAACACCCACTTAATTAGTCATCAATCTATCCACCATCCTATTAGGGTTTGGCTAATCCCACCTTGTCCTCTGTTCTGGCCTAAGAAAGTGGTAGCAAAATGAACACACATAACCAAACCCATTTGAGTTTTTGACAAACCCCGACCGGGGAATGTCGAAGCATGCTGGTCATCATCATGAGGTGACGTAACCATAAAGGTAAGTGATGTAAGAAGTGAATAAATTTCAAACTAACTAGAATTAATGTAATACTAAATAGTGAATGTCATGACAGTAAATCTCAACCATATAGCAGCATTTATCACAATTAATATCACTATAACGATACTTGGCAAAATAAGCGTAAAAGTGAAGTAAATACGCATTTATGAAAACTATAAATATGTATAGGTATAAAAACAAACTGCCCACTCACAAATATGTCGCTGGGTCGTAGCCCTCAAACTTAGCTTGGCCTCGAACGTCCTCGGGATACGTTTCCCCTATAAGTGAAATAACTAAAATATAATTAATTAAAGCACATATACGGAAACCTAAATAAAACCTCATAGTTTGCTCAAACATAGGGTTTAAATATATGAACGTGATCTACTTGACGCCACAGACCTACACATATTTTTAGAATCAATTTTGGTCCACCCACGTGCCGCCACAAGGTGGCTGCACTGGTAGCGATACGCGGCACGCGCCACTCATGTGGCTCCCTCACCGCGCCCACGCGCCTTCTTTACAAAACCTGCAATTTTTGCAGGTTTTGGTCCAACTTTAAGAGCTCCAAACGAGCTCATTTATCAACCAAAATCCATGATTCAAAAACCAAATTAAAACTAGGAATGTGATGAATCGATCCATATTCACAAAAAGTTCGAATATGGTCCGCGTTGTTCAGGAATATGACCTGAAAGTGGTCAAATGACTTCCAGAGTTGATTTCTAACTCGATTCTTAACCAAACTTGATGATTCAAAAGCTATTTTTGAAGTTAGGACTATAGAGAACAAGTCTGTACCTATAAGGAGTTCAGTTGTGGTCGAGGTTGATAGGAAAAATTTGTTGAAAGTGACCAAATGGTCACAGTTCTTGGCTAGAAAACTAGCAACCTCATTCTCTCGAGTTTTTTGTGTTAAACCGTATGTTCAAAACATAAACAAGAGGTCAATATCAACCCATAGGAATGAAAATGAAGGTTATAAGGGTTTCTCGAGGCTTAGCTAAGCCATGAATGGCCTAAAAATTGCTAAACCAAGACTTACCGAGTCAGACCTTCCGAGTGGGTGAGTCAAAACTCGTCTAAGCCAGGTTTCAAAGACATGGTTGTGATTGTGGGACTGAGATGCGCACAATGGTGTAGTTTGTGAGTTCGATCTATGAGCTTTGAAGCTCGTTCATGGCATTGCAGAGAAGAGGGAGTATACGAGAGGGAGAGAGATAAGAGAGAGAGAGTTTCATTTTTTTTTTTTTTTTTGGATTCTGATTGGTGGACAGAAATGAGGGAGAGGATGGGATGTGATTGGTTGCTAGAGTGTAGGGATAGATGGGATTGGTTGAATGAATAATGGAGGGGATGCACGGGTTAGATATAAGGGTGGATGGGATAGGGTTTCAGATTTTTTTTTACTGTAAAGGAAATCGAAATCTATCCAAGGTAAATATTTTCACGCTGAAAAAAATCGTAAAAGCTCGAAATAACCCGCGTAATCTAATTACGGGGCGAGAAAATAAATAGGAGGAAACTGAATACGTCCACGTCATTCGACACTAAGGGTATAATCGTCAATACACATGCTCGGGGAAGAATTCCATAGGAAAATTAGAGACGGATCGTCACAGTTTTACCTCGCAATCGTTCGTGGAAATTATGACCAGGCATCCAAGTGATAAATGAAGTATATAACTATTGCTATCATACTTTACCATTCTAAATTTGCCATGGCAGGAGAAGGGAAAGGAACAATTTGAGGTAATAAATCAAAACTAAAGAGTATATGAAACCATCCTGATGCTTGATGTTAATTACATCTCGAAGAATGTCTATGTCATGTGCATTCTTTCTAATTGACACGAAAAAGATCAAAAATTATGCCACAACTTACCAAACAGTTTGCATGAACAGATAAATTATCCTAATTGTACAATTAGATTTCAGAAAGTTAACAACAAATTTGATAAAAAAAATTGGTCGCCGGAAGAAGCCAGCCCTTTTCATCTACGTGATTTGTGGTACCATTGGTTTAGTTTAGAGCACAATGAAAGGAGAAATGAAGAACATACACAAGAATCCATATGTGAGCAGCATTTCGATTAAGAGCCACAATAAACCATGAGATCGTACCATAAAAATGGAAACTCCGCGCACCAAAGATTTGAGAGCCACAATCATTTGTAACAATACGAAATACTAGCAGTAATTTACTACTAGTGTACAATCTTCAAAAATTGGATCGAAAAGTTTCCAGTGAGGACATTCATCAAACACATTACATACCCATTTCTCCAAACTCAAAACATGAACGAACATCCAATCCAAGTTGAAGAAATTAACAAAAACACAAAATAAAAAACTGGGGTCTTGTATTGGTGTCGTACAAACCTACGGTTTATCTTCTCGAATCAGTTCATTGGACTGAGTCGAGGTGTCTTCCATGAGTGTCTCCGTGTCGGCGGCAGTGTCGCGTTGCTGCGGCTGCGGCTGCTGCTGCTCGGTGTTGATAAGATTCTCCATGTCTCTCATCCTCGTCCTCACCACACTGGTGACCAGTACTGCAACAACAACAACAACACACCCGATTATGTAAAAATGTGAAATTGTAGAGAGAGAGAGAGAAATCAAGAGAGAGAGAGAGAGTACCGGCGGCGGTGCCAAGTGTCCAGACCCAGAGGATCTTCAAGCCCGGACTCAACTCTCTTGGCATTTTCTATTCTATTTCTGCTTTCTGCAGTGGAGGCCGTGAGTTTCGTCTGCGGGGTCGGGTTTTGCTTTTGAGTCGGGTTTTTGTAGGAGCAAATCGTAAGCCCAATTATCGAGTTTGGGTTTAGGGAAGGCCTAAAGAGCGTTAAACTCAGCGCCAATAGGCCCTCTTCGCGTCCTTATGGATCTGTTACATATTTGACCCACAAATAACTATATCTGCAAGAGAATAAGAAAGGAGGATAGGCTATGAATATCAAACTCCACGTTCATCTTGTTGCGCCAGTCTCTTAGGTACCCTTTGGTACGTGGACGGGACAAAATGGAGTGGGACGAAACGTTTCGTCTCACGTTTGGTGCGCCTAAAATGGGTAGAATGCGCTGTTCCACGGAACGAGTTTTGGTGAATTTTCGTTCTACCTCGCTCCCTGAAACGACTCGTTCCACATCCATGGAACATAAAATTATAACATCTCTGTCTCCTTCTTCTTCCTTCTTGTTTCCATCCGAGGGCATCTTTGCTCATGTTCCATCCCATCATGTCCCGTCTCATTCTGTTCTGTCCCGTCCTATCTGCGTACCAAACGGTACCTTATCTCCATGTTGTTGAGTTTTTTTTTTTTTTTTTTTTTTACCGTAAAGTTCATCTCACTCTAACATTGCTATCAAGGAAAGTGACTTTGAGGGGAACATTTGTGCTAATAACGTGTTAAAATTAAAATAGATTAGAGAGAGATAAGAAATAGACGAGAGAAAGTGGGAGAAGAGATCAGAGTATTCGTGCCTATTTATAGGCTTGAGATTTATATAGAAGATGTTATATATATAAACTGAAAAATGAATAATCACGTAATAAATATTATTTATAACATTTAGGGGGCGTTTGTTGCGCCGGACTATCTCGGACTGGACTAGCTTCAAGGACTAAACTGAACTGACTTAGACTAGACTAAGCTAGATTAACTTAGTGAAGCGTTTGGTGCAGTGTTGGACTAAGAAGCTGGATAATAACAAATTCTAATATTATATTATTTAATATATAAATTATTAATATTTTATTATGATCTAGGTGACCGGAGATGACGATGAGTCTATCGGGAGTGGTTGTTGAGCATGACGATGACGAGAGATGATAGTCTTAGCTAGTCCTATGGTTATTGGGGGGTCTCGCTAAGACCTGTTAGTGAAGGGTTTTGTCCATGCTAGTCCCCTTTAGTCTCATTAATGTTAGTTCCAGCATGGAACAAACACAGTATTGGACTAACAGTTAGTCCAGTCCAGTCCAGTCCCACTTAGTGAGGGCAAACAAACGCCCCCTTAGTTATTATTTAGTCGTTGCACCTAACAGATACTACTAAACCCCACTTATATGTCATAAATATGATGGGACACCTATTAAAAAAGCTAGGTTGGGTATTTTAAAATTGGGAGATTTTTTTTATTTCTTTGAAGAAAAACATTGAGATTTTTTTTTTGTTGTATGTGTAAAATTAGAAATAAAAAGAAAAGTAGTTGAAGAAGCAAATCTATTTAACTAACTTGATATATTATTGATTAAAGTTGATTTTGTTGGCAATGTCAGAGCTATAAAATTTTCATCGGGTGAGTTAGCTTAAAGATTTAAATCTTTATAAACAAATAAACTTGATACTATATTTTTTACAATATCAACTAGCTCAAACAAATTGCACAAGGTGAGCCAAAAACATTCATTATTCAAACAAATTCAAACTTGTACATGTATAAGAAGCGATGAGAAAAAAAGATGTGAGAAAAAGAGATAGTTTGTTAATTGTATTATATAAATAAACCGAGAGAATTCAAATCAGTTACTAATTATAAGGTGAACTACATTAAAATATCAATAAAAATTACATGTAGAATTTTATTTTCTATCAAAAGCTACCTAAGCTACAACCCAGGGTAGCCCTTAATGTCGCTCCGTATTTGTTGGTTCTCAACATTACCCCAAGAAAACGCCATCGTAACGTCCAACTGAAAAATGCAAACAAATTTGGCTCATTTGACTTAAGCCGGGATGACAAAGTTGACCAAGACAAGCGAGGTTGGCGGTAGTATCCAATTGAATTAACTGAGCTGTTTTTTGGTGACTTGGCAAATTCTTGGGAGGTTATATTAAGAAATAAAATAAAAGATAAAACAATCAAATTCCTCACATTACACTATACTTAAGGCCCTTCAACAAACTAAAATTGAACCCCTAATGTTTGTAAGTATATGTATTATTAATATTGATTTGATTAATTGGTATCGTAAACACGAATAAATGAGAGATTAATAAGAGATGATTGTTTGATCAGATAATGGAGAGATTTTTCAGTTTGACTGGAACACGGGATGGTACAACACGTGTCACTATACAAATGGTGGGATATGTGTGTTAAAAAGTTAATAATTAAAAAAAAAATTTCTCATCACTTATATAAAAACACGTAATGTACTACTCGTGTTCCGATCATAATAAATTTGTTTCCTAGACGATGAAGAAGGTACATCAGTCAAAGATACCCGGTTGGCTGCCTTGGCTGGTCAATCTTGGCCAACTCCATCACACTTTGCATAGCAATACCATAGTTTTGACTTTATTAGTTTAGTGTATGCATATTTCGTTATATGCAACACTTCGTTGTTTAAATACAAAAGAAGAAAGAAAGAAACTTACATGCAATTAGTATAATAAGTGGTGATATCTGAAACTTATCACACGTTGACGGTTTTTTACTTTTTTTACCTAAACACATGAATATTTGTTACATACAATAAGTCCAGATATTTCATTTTTTGGACGTGTGAAGGCAACAATTAGGAAATGACTTGTATAAAGATTTTCTTCTTCTTTCGATGGACTGCATTTTCTTAAACTTGGCGACAACTTTCCTAAAAAACTAAGGAGGCCATAAGATTTTCCTTAAAAAAATATGAAACACAAAAAATCTTAAGAAAATAAAAACTTAATCATGAACCATGAACACAAAAAATAAGTGGAGAGCCATTTACCCGAAAAAGGAAAAACAAAAGGTGGTAGGAATTAAACTAAATACTATATGCGGAATATCATTTTAGCTGTGCGGTGTATAGCATATTTGCTACTCAATTTTTTTCAAAATATAGATATTTCAAATTTAATACAAAAAAAATTCATACGATGAATAGTGTACTTTTATTAGAACTAAATAAGATTCGAACTTATAAGACAAAAATATTTCATAGGAACCGCACAATCTAAACTACAAACAGAGCATAAGGAGTTTAATTAGAAATTCTTATTAGCAAGTATAAACTCAATAGAGGAACCTGTCGTGACATTTTTCTCGTTAAATACGATCTATTACGTATATTTTTATCAAAAAAAAAGAAAAAAGAAAAGACATAACAAGAACCAAAGTTTTGTCAGAGTTGATAAAATCACAAAAATAGTAATAAATTAGAAAATTTTATTATCAAATATAAATTCTCCGCCTACTATTTGAGATACAGGGTGTAATTGCAAATTCAAAATTAGACAAAAAGTCAGTTTTCTATTGAGATTTACGACGGAGACTGACGTGTTCTATATATTCGCTGTTCTGTTCCATTCCAATGAGTCTCACCACCACTCGCCTTCTCCACACACTCTCCTCCTTCTTCCCCAAATCTCCTCCTCCTCTTATCTTCTCATCCGCTGCGACTCGAATCTCTTCCTTCTCCAAGCCCTCCGCCTTCCCCTCCCTCTCCGCCAGGCTATCCCTCTCTTTTCACATCTCCACCATGGGCGACGCTCCCGACGCCGGCATGGACGCCGTCCAGCGCCGCCTCATGTTTGAAGACGAGTAAGTCCCTCCCTTCCCACTTGGCCCCTGCGTTTTCTTTTATTTTTGAGTGGTTAGGTTCATCTGTTTGTCATTTGCTCTTTTTATTTTTCTGCTCGTGAAACACCGGAACAGTAAATAAAATGAAATTCATAGGCTTTTTCATTTCTGTTTCGTAAATTCTAGCTCTTTATTTCAAATTTATTTTCTGTTGTGGTCTGTTTGGTTGCTCAGAATTCGGAACAGATGAGTAAACGAATAATTTGTCAAAACAAACCTGTGATCGTGAGTTAATTTTCTTTGTGAATACTCCAGTTTCTAGTTGACCAAACAGAGCACAACATAGTGAAGAGGAAAATATAATTTGAAAGACACAGATGTATGCACAGGCTGAGCTCTCATCTGAGCCATTGATACTTGAGTTCGAGTTTTTGTTCGATTTAAACGAGGCTACATCTGATCTGAAATCCCGAATTCGTTAGGAAATAACAACTGAAACAACCATTTATTGCTTTCCCCTTTAGTTTCTGCATCTTGCCGAAAACATTTATTACTTTCATTTTTTGGAAATAACGTTGAGGGCGTAGTGTAATGTGCACAACCGGTCTCTAATTATCACTAGAGAAAGAAGGGGCAACTCCCCCCACTGAGCATCAGTTGTCTCTTCCATTCGTTCAATCGGTGCTGCCCCTTGTCCTTGTCCTTTGCGATTTTAACCTTTGATATTCGGTCCAATGTATATTCAGGTGTTAGTCACTCCCTGGAGCTGACAATCTATTTTATTCAAATTTCTGCAGATGTATTCTGGTGGATGAGAATGATCGTGTTGTAGGTCACGACACCAAGTACAATTGTAAGTGACTTTGCTTGCATTAACCTGCTCATTGCGAGATTTCAGCGTGATAAATTTTTTATTTTTAGAAATTAATATTCTGTTTCGATAGTTTAGGACTTGAAGTTTTATGACTTCATGCCGTGGCTTATGATGTAGTACTTGATAAACCGTTCTAGGACATCTAGTAATTTGATTTGAGTAAGATAGAAGTTCCGAGGGAAGAATTTTTGTCTCCTATTTTAATTTATTGCAAAGAAAACCCATATTAAAGGATCATCATATTTCCTTGGAGCTTGAATGTACTTGGTAATAATGCCTGATCTATGCATGTTGATACAACTCTTGTGTTCTTTCTTGTACATCTGTTGGTTTCTCAAGTTTTAATGTATTCTGTGAACTGCAGGTCACTTGATGGAAAAGATCGAATCTGA